CGCGTTGCGGTTCAGACGCGTACGGACGGGTTCAACGGGTTATAAACGGGTTCCGTGCGGTCTGAACGATGCCTAAGTCATCAAACTGACCCATGTAAAATGTCGAATTTGGTCGTCGTAACTCGATTTTCTGGATGCTGCCGTCTATCTATCTGATTGACTGCTTTGTATAATAATCCGAACTATATAAATGGCATGTTTCAATGCTAGACTGTAGACAAGCTGGACGTCAGGACTCACGTCGCGCTCGGCGGCCGCTTTGCTGAGCACACTGCACTCAAATTTTGTGAATACAGGAAATCTCAGTCGTTGAAGTGGCACAGGTAGATTAGGGGTGCTTTCCTCAGTTGGCAGGTTCCGGCGCGTTGCGGTTCAGGCGGATTCGAACCGACTTCGAGGTCTGAACGATGCCTTAGTCTGAAGAGCAGTCAATACAAGTTAGTACATATAGTTACCAAAAACATCGTAAACATGACTCACTGAAACATTTCAGTACCTAAAACTTTTCTTTCCTAACGCCGATTTGAAACTAGGGTATTTTTCCGTAGTAGTGACCTGCACCTTCCACATCTAAGGTGAAATTATAAATCGCACTTTGATATAGAGTCGAAAATCATTCAGTATCTCTTTGCGAAGTAAGAAAGCGTTTCCAAACAAAGCAGAAACTTTCAATAAACACGCATTAACCTCATAAACTACTTGTAGAAGGCAGCTGGTCAAGGAAGCCGCGAGTTTGTCAAAACATTGAGTGCAACCTTAGAAAACATCGAAATTGAATCAGTGACTGCAGAATTGATTGACTGACTTTGAGGCGTTGAAGCCGGAATTGCAAAGAAAACAAATTGGAATCATTGTTCACGGCACGATATTGATGTCCAACTGGACTGACTACTTTGAAATAAGACTATTTTACCGTAGATCTGATCTGGACCTTCCGCAGCCAAAGAAAACGTATTCAATCAAGTCACAAATCGTTTGAGATTCTTGTTGCGAAGTAAGAAAGCGTTTTTTGAACAAAGGGTCAAGAATCTTCCTCCACATACATCAATCTCATAGAGGACTCATGGAAGGCAGCTTGTTAAAAAAGCAGTATAGCGCAACCTTTCATCCAGCATAACGCTAGAAATCCATCGAATCAAATGACCGACATGCAGAATTGATTGATTGACAATCTTGCAGGCACATGCAAAGGAATCCAAAGCTGGTAGCTGTAGCTCGATTTAGTGTATTGGTGTTTCCATTTATTATTTTATTATTAAATTATTATTTGATTCAATACTATGTTTGATTTTAACTTCCTTCTATTTGCAGGTATCACACCCCGACAAACCACAAACGACAAACATGGTTAGTTATTCGTTTATTGTCAGCCTGATCAAGGCCTTTCTGCAGCACCCAGTGAGGCTGAATATTGCTATACCTGAAGAAAACTTCGTAGGTGTTCTGGCTGTAGCGTAGAAAATAATTGAAAAACCAATACCCAATAAACACCACTGGTTAGTTCCCGGTCAAACGGTTCGCGAAAGCCAGTGGAATGCACTTACAGAAGTGATTTTTACTTTTACAACTTACTGAACTAATTTTTCTTTATCTAGAACAGTGCACAGGATGCAGCTCGGATCCAGTTAGAGGTATTGTACAAAATACTATGATTATCTATGACATACAGCATAATTTAAAACATCAGTGTCCCCAATATAAGAGGAACCGCCGTTTGCCTCCGACCTATTCCGCTAGGGGTCCCATTTTACCTACACTAAGCGTACAAACTTACACCTCTGCAGCCCGTTAGCGTCACTCCAAATATCAGAAAAACTGCAGCTTACCTGGGTTCTCGCGCTGTGAGTAAGTGTAGTCATATTCTTTGCCTTTTAATTTATACTACTTCTAATTCTTGGATTGTTCTTTTACAAAGGACACTCATTGAGTAGAAATCGGATCCTTTCTAGTAGTCATGTTCAAGAGCAACAACACTCCAGCTTTTCAAATGGATGGCAACATCAACATCAGATCCATCGCACACAGGCTCCGAGACGACTGCGGGTAAATCTGTTGTAAAAGAACTTTCATTCATAAAAAAGCATTCAAGGTGACGTCGCCGTGTGAGCATCATTTCAGCACCGTTTTGCAATGGAAATCTATGGTGTTGAGTGCACAGAATCCCTCCCTTTAGCCGCAGAACAGATGTAAGAATCAAAATCGATGGATGAATCAATGGTGGCAACGATGAATCTAGGGATCGTACCACCCCTAGATTATACAGACGCATTGCAAGTATCCTATAATCCACATGGCACTGATGTGATTCTCAAGAATATAACAAGACTATTTGAGCATCACTTGATCAATTGCATCTCAACGAACGGTTCCAGCGCTCTCAGCTAAATAACCAGCCATCAACATCCTAACATTGCGAACAGTTCTCCTGATAAGATTCAGAGCGATGAAGCCTCAATGTGAATGTTGCTTGCAATGTGGAAACGTTGCAGGCACATTATCTATTATATATATATATATATATATATATATATATAATAGATAAACACTGTACCTTTGTTTGTTAATCGGTTTGTGTCTTATAAACTCCTTCGTATGTACACCAGAGAGGCTGAACTTTGTTTCCCTATGGATGAGACACGGCGCAGAAGACAGGCTACTTTTTGCGACAATACGCTGGGTCCTATCATCGATTTATTGATTTGTTTACGTAAATCTAGGAAATGAAGGGCTTATCAAATCTTTCGTCTAAGTGAAGGTGAACAGTAGCGGTAGTCCCATTCTGAGTATTGCAAAGCGCAGTGACAAGTAGAGCACTTCAAGTAGATTCTATTATACCTTTAAGAATGATGTATGTGCTTTGTTAGAATCCTTCCGCAACATCATGGGCGTCAATTCTCAGAGTCACTTCTATTTCAGCATGTATGGGGCCTATCAACTGCAGTGTCGGGTGCAACAGCTCTTCGCTTCCGCGCGGCCGCCTCGCCTGAAGAGGTGCAGAGTCCCGCGCGGGAGCGGTGATGGTGCACCCGACACTGCAATCGATAAGCCCTGTATGCCAACTGGATATACTGTTGCGATTTAAACTATGGCGTCAAAAACAACAGCATTAGTGACAGTCTCCATAAAATATATTCGATTATATGATTAGAGCAGCGGTCTTTGTCGTAATACGTACAAACAGTGAAGGATCTTTGAACTGTAGTGGCGATACAAGGAAACAAAGTCTGAGCTACACCCATTTGTCACAGTCCACTCGGAGCAAAATGCCAGAAAATGAAGGCATTGTTGCACTTGCGGTGATGAGGGCATTGGAGATAGATAGAAAGCAACCGATCAGAGGACGGCACAATGAAAATTTTTTCAATGAGTGATATGCTTTACCACTCCCACCCACTACGCTTACGAGTACATTCGTGTGAAGCAAACCTGTCAAGTGAAATGAGCACGCCTTTTCAAGAAATCCCAACCGAAATGTCAAAGTAGCAAGAATAGATAAAAGTGTTGTAGTTTCGCAATATGATCTGTACCCTTATTCCATTCATACTACTAAGTCTTTACTATATGATTTTATCTATGATTTGAGTTACCTCTTTCAAAAATTACTGTTTGAAGAGTAAATTCAGGCTAACATGGAGTTGGCTAACAAAACACTTTGTGTATAGCTTGAATGTCCTCTTTTCTTTGAACCTCGGCATTACAATGATGTAGTTCTATTTGTTAATAGTGCCAGCACGAGTTTTCGGCGAAGCTTTATTAGTAGAGCGGCCTAACGTTTCGAGCAGTCCTCGTCTTCAGAGGCCTAAAGTGACGCGCGATTAATGTTGAAGTGACGATTAAAGTGACGCGATTATGTTTGTCCCACAAAACGCCTTGTCAACCCTGGCCAGTTTTTCGATCCTCCCTATGGATTCACTAGTGAAAATCAAATGGGATGACGAATTGACCGTGGCTCTATCGCTATCAGATGGTGGTGTGCGACCGCCTTCTCCGAACTAGTAGTGCAAATTATCCATACAAGTCAATCTATTGCACTACTCTGTCACAGCTCACATAACGGGATGAATGGCAGAATCATTTTAATGGCTAAACACTCATTTCTGTTATTCATTTGCGGGTTCCTACTTTGTGTATAGGTCATAGAGATCGTAGCAGGTAAAGTTATTTGAACATCATAAATTGCTGAAATCAAAGAAGTAGCCCGGAAGTAGCCAGGTATGCCAGCTAGTTTAAAAATAAATCGAAAAATCAAACAAGCCCAGAAACCGTAACCTGTTTGCCCGCTCCCTCCCTTGACTCCCTGAGAACTACTCATACCCACTGTCTCCCTATTGAAACTACTGAACTATTTATATTTGTATTCCAATTCGTCTTCCTATTTCTACTCGTTCTTCCGTTTACGTTCGCCTATACCGTAACAACCTCTATGGTAAGCTTACCACTTCGTGCATACTGAATCAGCTCAAGATTGCATTGTCTGGAAACTAAAAACGATTTCTCAGCATCGCCACTTTCTGCTGGCAAAATGCATGCATTCAGAATACCTTAGAACAGGAACATTTAAATGTGCGAAGGAAAAAACGACTTGAATGATCTGAGTGTTCAGACGGTGCTCTATTTGCGCGTACCTCTTGTTTATGACCTTATTTTGCTAATTTACCAATTGTTTGCAATGTTGATATGAATTTCCTATCTTTTTACCTCGTTTTGTACGCACACGCACGTCGCGGCGGGATCAGGCGATCGGCCTCATGCACATCTTTTCGGCCTCTATATAAGGGTGCGCCGCTTGGCTCAAATCACTTTTTGTCTTCGTGTCACTTGGAGTGCGGTCTAGCAATCAAGAAGCCAAGCCGAGGAAGACGCAGACGCCGATCGCCTGGAGGACGCCACTACAATAAAGATTTCAACATACTGCTGGCACCACGCCGAGACCCTGCGTTAACGCCTAACCTGGGTCAACTATTGCGTGACAATGTTTATTTGCCTGTTTAGTTGATGTATCACCATGCCAAGTATACTCCTTTTTTCAAGGAATCCAAGGAATCCACGAAGAAGCGAAAATGTGACTGCGCCCAAGTTTGTAGAAAAGCCATTGCATCGATGAAGATGAAGCATATCAGGTGGCCTAGAGAAGGGAAAAAGATATGGACGCTGTAGTAGGACTTGCGAAAGGGTCCTCACCTTCGTCAGCGACTTGAAAACGAAGCTCAAAGAAATAGGCGTGACGGCGCTTTTTAAGAAGCCTAAAGAGATTACGCTTGCGTTGGAATGTCCACGAGAACAAGATGGAATAGAGAAGAAGTATCCCAGCGCCAAAGGAGGGTTCACAGCTGAGAAAGAACGATTATGGCGACGCTCAACAGGCATGGTTCGATGTGGGGGGAGGTTGCAAGACACATGATCCATCGTAAATTGAGAGAGGAAGAAGATGTGACTATGTCAGAGTTGCACGAAGATTTATCCCGCACTCACGAGAAATTCGCCCTTTCGCTGCTTACACTATACCGACTGGTCAAAGGGGTGGGATTCTACATAGAAAGAATTATGGACAAAAGCAAATCTTCGAAAGACTTGACTTGGACTGGTCATTTTAGGTCCTCAGGGAAGTCGCCGTTAGAAAGAGTTTGAAAGTCATTCCCAGTGTAAAAATTCTTAGCAATAATTCTTATCCAATATGCACGAGTTACCACTGCACATAGCACTGTCAATGTACATTTTCTCATGTTCCCGAGACTAAGCGTTAACGTTCTATCATTGTTATATAGCATCTCACTGTCATTTCGGTTGCTTCTTTCTGATAAATGTATCTCTATGTGGGTTTGTTGGCAGATTGATGCGACACAATAACAACTGGTTTTGAGGTTTTAGTATGAAAAAGAATTTAATAAATTAATTAGAAACACAAGAAATTCAATTCATTTTTGTTCATTTTCTACACTATCCGGTTTCGGGGCTTAGAACTATACCGGTATGCGGCTTCATTGGTGCCCCTCGTCAGTAGTTCCCAAGGAAGCTTCAAAATTATCAAATGAAAATCTAAGATGATCTAAGACGGAAAATGGCGTACAAAGAAATTGAGTAAAAAGGTGCAAGTTTCGCTAACACGTATATGACAAAATAAATGGCGAGTGTCATCCGAGGAAATAGTGACCTCTTTTTCAAACTGGAGTACTCCCGCCGTGACCTCAGAGCGCGCTAGCGTGAGCCCAAGTGTCATGTAGGTCATGTAAAAGAGGCAAATGTATGTTACTAGGAACTCCGTACTTACGCATTATAAATGCTCTATCGAATAGTATATGAAGTTTACTAATAAAAATATGATATTCCCATCCATTAGTTTTCAAAGTCTTAGCTAATTCTATTACTCTTTCCTTAAAATGTGCATAACTAGAGCAATTTCTGTAAATTCCAAGAATTTCTGAAGTGCAAGTATTGTACAATATATATCTGAGAATATTAGACTCCCAATATGGATATCTAAATACTTTGAAATTATAGTCATCTGTCTTATTATATTAGGTTGTCCGGAAATTAATGCAGGTTTTGAATTCCAACCGCAATAAGTCATACACTTCTCATTTTTAAATAGGTCGCAAGGTACCGTTCGATAGAGCAAAGCAAGTTCTACAAAAAGGCAATCTTGCTTTAGCAACAGCTCTGATCCACGAGTTTCGAGCCAAAAACTAAAAAGATTCAACTGTTTGAAAAATCAAAAAAAACCGTAACATAGTTCATAATAGTCCTTAAAAAAATTCTAACTTGCTCACGTAAACACAATCTACATAAAGCATCTATATGCGCCATTGGCATATTTTTTCTCTGTTAGAAATCAAGAAAACGGAAATTTTCGCACATTTGCCAAAGTGGTGCTGTGCCGTTCCCGCATAGGTAGTTGTATACCACAAACCTGTAGAAGTATAAACGTAAATCAGCTCTCTACAAGCTTTAATTCTCGAGATATATCGAATACAGTTTTCCCTAGTCATGTGGTCCAAAATAAAATTCAAATTTCTCGAGAACTAAAGCTTGTAGAGAGCTGGAAATTTACGTTCATACTTCTACAGGTTTGTAGTATACAGCTACTTATGTGGGGATGGCACAGCACCACTTTGGCAAATCCACGAAAATTTCCGTTTTCTTGATTTCTAACAGAGAAAAAAATACGGCAATGGCGCATATAGATGCTCTATGTAGATTGTGTTTATGTGAGCAAGTTAGAATTTTTTAAGGACTTTTATGAACTATGTTACGATTTTTCTTAATTTTTTAAACAGTTGAATCGTTTTAGTTTTTGGCTCGAAACTCGTGGTGGATCAGAGCTGTTGCTAAAGCAAGATTGCTGTTTAGATTGCTTTGCTCTATCGAATGGTACCTTGCGACCTATTTAGAAATGAGAAGTGTACCTATGACTCATTGCGGTTGGAACTCAAAACCTGCATTAATTTCCGGACAACCTAATACATATTAAACCTAATTTTATTATTGGAAGTTTTGAGAGTAAGGTCTAGAAAATTTGAAGTTTGTTTGACAAGTTTGAAAAAAAATGAAATAATTGCATATAACTGATGCACATAAAACAAGCAATGCTATTCTGTACACATGCCAGAGTGTTAATAGTTCAGACACCTTTTAAAAATTTTGTAGCTTTTTTCGTTTTTGTGAGCTCACGAAAAAAATTTTTTGTAGAAAGTTCAATTACGTTCTGAATGTGTAGCAAAACTTTTGAGTGGAATACTTAGCCGCTTCATGAAACCGCTAAGCTTGCCAAAAATCCTTGCTAATCAGCATTTCTAACAGTACTCAGTGATCCAAAGTATACACGGGCACTCGCCTTAGTTAGAATAGAATGTTCAAATGATACAATCTCTTCATAACTTCGAACTCGACAAAATATTAGGTTGGCACATAAGTAAAGCAGCTTTTTATATAACTTTTGTCTTTCTAAACGTAGCGCATTCATTTTCTGGCGGTATAAGGATTATGATGTAAACTGCAAATGCAGATACATTTTGTCGCACTGTGCCACCTTATGAATGGGTTACGGTAGGTTCACGGTATAATGGGAAAGATTTTGGATTTCTTCAGATTTTACTGAAACTTGGAGGTTATTTGACATGCTGATCACAAAATGAGACCCGTTTCGTTTGAAAAGGCCTCTGTTCAATAAATTTTATCTCAGCGACAACTAAGTATGATATCGTGTCCCCCTTATTGGATTACTCTATTGTGCAAAGTTTTAGCGAATTCTGAGGTTTCGCAGCTTAGTTATTGACAGATTGCCGCCAAAACTTGACGCATTTGACTTGTTCTACTTCTCAAAGGCGCTTTATCTTTATTGAACACTGAATTTTACTTCTTTATTGCTGGTCCTAATGCCTCATCCTCTAGCTACAAGCTGCCCATAATTACTTTGTGATATCTTTGACTCAGGTTTTGTAACGTTTGCCAAAAAACCGTGTGACCTCGATTTTCAAATGTTCTCAAAAAATTTTGATTTTTTTCTACTACGTTATCAATTAAACGGTTTGCGTGGACTTGTAGCTTACGTCACATTCTACATGATGCTAATAGATGAGAGTGCTGCTACATTGTATAGGAAGAAAGTTATAGGAAAAGTTGCAGAAGTTATGTGCCAACCTAATATTTACACCCGGTTCTTTTCCGGGACGCATAATAACATAAGCACACAATATCTCTGAATTTCTCTCAAACGGTTGTACTCATAGGGATGGTAAGTCTTCAAATCCATGGTCACTTCCTTCACCACACAACTCACAGTTATCAAAAATAGCAAAACCACACCAAAATCAATCGCATTTCATTATTTGCATGAAGAATTCGATTCGCTTATATGCAGGATTGACTGCCTGTTCATATGCTGTACTGCAGTATAAACTCTAACACTGTAAATCTATCATGCTGAATTTTGTTTGATTTCATCCGCACACAATACCCTCTATGCAGTGACGTACCGAGGGGGGGGGGCCTTCCCCCCTTCCCCAGAGAATGGGTCGCGAAATTATTGAAAGTTATTTACATGAGTCATAAGAATGTGCAAGAGACTTATTTATACTTGTAAGTAATTAAAATAATTTTTAAATTCTAAACTTACGGTCAGACTGACCGTAAGTTTTGAACTCTAGCAATGAAAATATAAAACATGTGAATTCAGCCTGAAGCAGGGGGCCCAATACCTCGAAATGTGTGCGCATAGTCAGTGTGACTTAAAGGACAACGTCGCCCACAATACAGACGTCAGTTTTAATCCTCAATTGCACCAAGTCATGGAGTCTCGATGTGAAACAACCATTTGTCAAGGGAAGAATTACTAAAGCAATTCCACACAAAATCTGTTCAGAAAATCTCGGGATATTGGGCGCGAAATGGGAGTCACGCAAAAAGGACCCGCCTTACCAGCAGTTATGTTCCTTTTACCGTCATCTCTTATAAGCATGAGTCCCGGATCTGTTGAGTTATGCAATGCAGTGTTCAAATCGCATCTTTAGATAACGGATCCACCAGAAGAAATAAAAGATACGCCGTCCGACTACATAAGGAAATGGATCGGGCGACTAATTGAAAAGCTTACTGAAAGCTGTGGAAGAATTCTGAAAGGCTTTTCTCCGTTATTTTTATAGGAATTGATACTTTAGATATGGGCGAAGACATACTCGGTTACGGGCAAGGGTAAGCTTAAAAAATGGCTCGATCAGGATCTCAGTGGTTCCTTGTGAGTGAGATTTTTATTTAGCTTCACTCGACAAAAATCATTGAAATTTAGTTTGTACAAAAATTAGATATGGGCGAAGACATGCGCTATGGGCAAGATGAGCTTGAAAAATGGCTTGATCAGGGTCTAAGTATTTCTATATGAGTGAGATTATGTATTTAGCTTCATTCGACAAATCATTGAAATTTAGTTTCTACAAGAACCTCGGAACCAGCAAAGAGAAACGTAGACAAACTCGGAGTAGTTGAAGAATGAACGTGCAGAATGGCGTCCACAGTTATTTAAAGCGCTTCAACTCGCACTGTAAGTCTTTTGTACCCGCACTTTATTCGTACTTACATTCAATGTCTACGTTCGCTCCTACAAATGCGAAAACGGCAAATGGATTCCCAATCCGATATGGTTTTGAACTTCTTTGAACGTATTTCCGTCAGTAAACTATCAACATTTTCCATTTAGCGAGTAGCCAAACGAGGAGCCGAAGGCATGAATGAGGCAGGACGAATGTGCAACAGATATGGAACATAGCCGTAAGAATCGGACGAGAATCTCCGTCAAACGGGTCACCTCACTTGCTATCACCTAACCCGCCACTTAATCCGCGACCTAATCCACAGCCTAAGCGCAGGAGAAAATAGGATTAGCCCCATTTTCATTTTATCGTTGTTCCTTTTGTACGACACTTTTTGGTTTTTGTTAAGTTTCCTGCTTCGCCGTTGGCAATTACTACTTGTTGGTTTTATTTTTTCCTCTCGTGGTCGCTGAATTTTATCATGTTATTACGTTTCCAAAGCGTTCATTTTTTCATGTTTTATCGTTGTTCCTGCTATCATACATGCTTTATGGTCCCTTATATGCTGTGATCCACGTTTCGTGATGACCTGTATTTGTAACTAGCTGGTGGCCCCGGTCTTACCCGAGACTTCAAGTTAAGTCAACAGAACTTGTAAACTTACGTCTCTAAATTTCTTACATGCGCATAAAGCGCTTTCAGACTAATTGCCGCACCCTACCAACTTTAAGACCGAAATGGACTTTACCGCCCCTGCTTACATGCTTGTATGTAAAAATGATCGGTTGCCATGATGGCCCTTCATTTTCTTAGGTTTGAGTAAACAAATCAATAAATCGATAGAATGGCCCGGCGAATCGCCGAGGAAAGTAGCTCTAAACCACCGCCGGGGTCGAAGATATACGTGTGCGAAGTTTCAGCCAGATCGGTTCAGTGGTGCGCGTTTCTATAACGAACGAACAACTAAACGAACATCCTCACAGACATTGAGTTTTATATATATAGATAAGGTTTATATACCGATAATGATGAAATGATAAACCAAACCACGCATAATTACATTGAAATACACATTACACTGCGAAAAGAACAAAAAAAAACATTTATGGGGAGTTCCAGACTGCGAGGGGAGTGCCATGTATTGGGGCGCGCGTTACTCGTGGCGCGCACGCCATTTGATGGCCGGCGGCGGGAGTTATGAGCACCCGCGCGCACTTGGTGCGCGCGCCGCTGCAGCAAGTGTCTGAATAGTGCGATAGGTGGAGCAAACTCTGTGGCGCTTCACTTTTGAGCCGGCATCTGAATGACCCTCTTCACTGAGGTTAGGCTAGGGTCAAGGCATAATCTTATATATAAAGCTGAATGTCTGTTTGTATGTATGTCTGTATGTGTGTACGTATGTTCCGAATAGAAAATTCCATTTCTGAACCGATTGGGACCAAACTTGGCACACATACACTTCGGGCCCCGGCGGGTGTCATAGGCTACTTTTCGTATCGATCGATATCGATTTTATCGATTCGCAAAATTTGAGCTACGGGGCTGGGATTTGGCAGAGGGGTGTAATCGAGCATGCTGACCACCCCCACGGGGGTGATTAGCATGCTCGATTACCCCCCTCTGCCAAATTCCAGCCCCCTAGCTCAAATTTTGCGAAAAATCGATAAAATCGATAAAAGTAATGCACGATTTCGAAAACTAATATTGTATTCGTAATCGGGATGCTCGATTACACCCCTCTGCCAATTCCCAGCCCCGTAGCTCAAATTTTGCAAAAAATCGATAAAATCGATATCGATCGATACGAAAAGTAGCCTATGACACCCGCCGGGGCCCGAGGGGTATGTGTGCCAAGTTTGGTCCGGATCGGTTGAGAAATGGAATTTTCTATTCGGAACATACGGCGGAGCCGGGTAAGCCAGCTAGTCGCATAATAAAACACCTGTGATAAATGGTGCATATTTAGTTTGGGACCGCCAGTTGCTGCTTCTTCTCAGTCAGTGCTTGACCTCATATTTGCGAGACAACCCAAGCTTGAAACTTCCCGTCTCAGTCAGAGTGGTTTGGTTTTGATAGCGAAATAAACCCAAAAAGTTTAGGGGTCATATGATTCATTGAATAAGCAACATTCTTCAATTAATGTATATTGTTGAAGGGAAGAATTATGCAAGAATAGGAAATCTGGCCGATGGATGTATGTTCAACGAGAAAAACCAAATTATATCCTTTTTGGGAGAGCACAATAGAAAGTAAGGAAGCGTTCAGATTCCTCAATTTTAGAGCGTTTCATTCACATGCGAATCCTTAAAGGCAGCGCCCAGGCAAATCTGGGCTTATGGGGATCTCACATGGAGGGTAATCTTGGAGCTCTAACTGAGACAGTGCCCAAACGGCACCTCTAATGGTAAACTCACAGTTGAAATATTCGCCTCCAAACTGACCCCGGGATCGTATCCGCATGGATTCATGGCGCGAACATCAGTTTCTCGAGGACCCACGCGTTCGCGCCATGAATCCATGCAAACGACCCCGGGGTCCAGTTTATAGGCGAATATCTCAACTGTGAGTTTGCCATTATAGGTGCCGTTTGGGCAGTGTCTTAGTTAGGGCCCCAAAATTACTTTTTACATCAGAACCCCGTATGTCCAGACTTGCCTGGACGCTGCCTTTAAAAAATACCTTTCCGTTTCAAAAATCTTATATATAAAGCTGAATGTCTGTTTGTCTGTCTGTCTGTCTGTCTGCACGTATGTTCCTGAATGTCTGTTTGTCTGTCTGTCTGTCTGTCTGTACGTATGTTCCGAATAGAAAATTCCATTTCTGAACCGATCCGGACCAAACTTGGCACACATACACTACGGGCCCCGGCGGGTGTCATAGGCTACTTTTCGTCATCGATCGATATCGATTTTATCGATTTTTTGCAAAGTTTGAGCTACGGGGCTGGGAGTTGGCACAGGGCGGTAAACGAGCATGCTGATCACGAATACAATATTACTTTTTGACGTGCATTACTTTTATCGATTTTATCGATTTTTTGCAAAGTTTGAGCTGCGGGGCTGGGAGTTGGCACAGGGGGGTAATCGAGCATGCTGATTACAAACACGATATTAGTTTTCAGGATTATCGATGACTTTTATCGATTTTATCGATTTTTTGCAAAGTTTGAGCTACGGGGCTGGGAGTTGGCACAGGGGAGTAATCGAGCATGCTGATTACTAAAAGCGGGGATAGTGATTTGGCATGTAGGCGTGGGCACAGGGGAAGTTTCTTACAGGGATAGGGATAGTGTTCTTTGACATAGTGTTTTGACAGGGCCGGGCGGAGCCGGGTAAGCCAGCTAGTAAAGCATAAAGCAAATCACCAAATTAGCTGATATTGTAGTTAGATAAAATTTCTCAACCTGATTAGCAGAACGCTTAGAAAAAATGAGACGGTCTATGTCGATTTCTCGTGCTTTTAGATATCGAATGTGTACAAACTGTTGGCGCATTAATTTTCCCGCTCCAATAAAGTCTTGCTCGCGACACCTGAAAGCCAAGCCATTGAGGAGACGGAGTGGAGCAAACTAATGGTAAATATTTCCACCCCAGTTTACTAGATCCACAAGCTTTTTCATATATATTTTTTCATATATTTTTGGAAAGCTCATGAAACGAAAATTCGACCTAGCCGTCTCTTTTTCCTAGCCTCCTCTTCTCGGAGATACATGGCATTTAATCTGAAAACATGCACGTATTTGTGAGGAAATTTCTATGCAAAAAATGAATGGAAACGTCTAATTGTCTGACTATGCTACATAGCAAAACTTTGCCAGTAGACGTTGACCATCTCTTTTTCTAGCTTCTCTCTTCCTTTCAAGAACGGAGCACAAAGTGATTGCATAAAATCGGCTGATGCTGCAGCTAGATAAAATTTGTATGTGAATTTACAGGAGAGCTGGAAAAAAGGAGACGGTTTACGTCATTCTTCCAAGCTTTCGAACAGTATGTCGACTGATAAAACATGAAGCTTTCCTGAGTAGCTGAGCTTTCCTGTCTCTGGTGGATGACCATCTAAAGCCTAAGCATTGAGAAAATCAAATTACACCTCTGTACCACTCATTTTCCTTCTTCTCACTCCCTCTTCCGTAAAAAATGCAAGCTTGCGTCAGCATTCATCTTAAGGCTTAGTTAACCATTCACTTTTCTAGGTTGGACATAGCCAGAACCCCATTCACTGAGAGGACCCTGCTCCTCTATCCACCTATGCTCATGATTACCAAAAATGAATGCAAATGCAAAAAGCTGGCTTGGGATGTGTTCTTAGTGTGCGATGGTCCCAGCTATTGAAAGAGCTATTCAGGTTGAAGAAATAACTGTAAACTAGGACGAAACACCCAAAAATGGGAAAAAATCCGTTCCGCTCAGGTCTGCGAAAAGCACAATTTTCAGACTATAGATAAGCAGAAATTGCAGAAGCTTGATTTGAAAATCCGTTTTATACCCTTCGTATTGGATGAATGAAGCGACATCCGAGTATAGCTTGTACCTGGGCATTCATCCAGTCAAGAATAGCACACTGAATTCAGGGTTCAAGAGATCGAGCTCTGTATTACCTGTTCTAAAACGCAGCCAGCGCGCTTCTCGAAAAAGAGCATTCATGTAACCAGTAGTCTAAGGTTATCGGCGGCGTGGCGTTATGGAGCAAAGCTACGCCGCATTCGCCTGTGGTATATCCTGAGGACCTCTTGCGTTGCGTCGCTCTTAATTGCAATTGCAAAGGAGCTAGCGCTACTCAGCGGATTGAGCCATTCTCCTTATTCTTCATAGAAAAAAAGATCAAAATGTGGATGATAAACGCATTTCAAGACTTCTTCCTCATATAGAATATGAGGAAGAAGCGTCTGCAAAGCAAGACAAGAAAAAGTAAAAGATAAGGAAGTTAATTTCTCTTGGAAAGCTATCGACGGAAAATTTCTATTGTTTTTCTCTGTTAATACTCGTGTTCCACTTCTCTTGAACTCTTTTAACCCAAATCCAGCATTGGATGGATCATCCCATAGTCAGCTTTTGATTTATCCTTAAGATTCATCTACTTATTTGAACATATATCAGGTTGTAGTAATACGGAATGGCTTGATCCGCTGTCAGGGGCAGCGCTATCCTGCGGCTGCAATCAAAAGCGATGCAACGCAAGTGCCCCTCGGGATATACCGCAGGGGAATGCGGCGTAGCTTTGCTCCATAACGCCTGCCCCCCAGGTTATCAGTACCCATGTCCGAAATACGCTAATTGACAGCCGCTCACGATGAAGATTCAATCAAAACAATCCAACTCAAGCTCTCTTGGCAGAATTCTCTTTACAACCTAATAAGAGAGTTATAGTCGCCCTCACCCCACTAGTCGGTCGGTGGACGAATTCAAATTTGAATTGGGGCAGGTGTGTCACGGCAAAGCGCGGCAGGAGACAACGCTCAGCAATTACAAAAACTCAATATAGATCAAACACGTTGTAACAATACAAAAACTGTTAAGCAATGGCGAAGAAATACGCAAAGTGAATGCGTGAATTTGAACGGAGAGCTAAGGTGCCGTGCTCTGCCGCGACCTGCCTGCTGCAGTTCGAATTCAAATTCGTCCACCGACCGACTAGTGGGGTGAGGACGACTATATTCACATTTTAACAGTGAGCACATCTTCTTGGGTCACCCTGTATAAGCTATATAATATTATATATGTCTTTTTAGTCAGCAAATCTTTGTAGATTAGCAAAGAACTGAAATAAAAATTGCTTATTATCAGAAATTGAATGAAACTTCAGTAAATTTCTCCTAGTTGAGTGGCTCCGCATCACCTGCAGGTCCCCATGGCGAGCCAAAGGCTGCTGAGTCCAAATTTGCATGCCTTCAGTTTCTACACGTACTTAAATCTACACATGGCTGCGCAGAGCGCGCCCCATGACCCAGTGCGAAATTAGCCGCCGCACAGATTTATGCTCCCGGAGCACGCTAAACACAGTGAACTTGTGATTCTTTGCACAGGGTCCTGCCGTGTAAGTGATTTTTGCATACAGTTGTTATTCTTTGCTTGTTGGCGTACAGTCCATTGCAGTAAAATGCCAACAAGTGCGTTCTTTGCATGTGAAAGTGATGTGACCATCGCAGATTAAAAGTATTGGTGTTTCCCAAGATTCATGGCACAAATTGTAGCGTGAGGTATATTGTGCAGAAAGAATCCTAATGATGCTGGGGTAATTTGAGTCGGATCAACAAATGCATGTCTGTTCTTGAATCTTTTGCTTATTGATTCGTAATCGAAAAACATCCTAAAGTGTTTTGTTAGTCCATCGATAGAGTGATGGACACTACCACAGATGTCGTTTTTTGCTGTCGTTCATACCTTAAACTGTATTGAGGGGCGAATGGACATCTCGTATGGGTGAAATAAATCATCATTGTATCAAGCGCACAATATATTCTTTTCAAAATCAAATTCTCAGTAATGGTTTCGCAAGTAAACCTCGACTTAGGACAAAAAAGAGGAGTAAAACTTTCTTTATCAAAAACCATCCTAATGTCTTTAGCTAAGAACTGCTTCATTCGTTTTGTGAGTCAATTTTTTCTCTTACCAGAACATATAGACCGAATTCTTCCTGTGAAAGAAAATCATAGAGGCAGTCTTGCAGTTTGACTAAGGAATTGCTGTTCACTGATGCGTGCCTGGTGTAGGGATGAATGTGTAGTGGAGCTGTGAGCTGTCTGACAAACGTAGGTTTTTCACAGTCGAAACATTGCAGTGCATAACAAATGGATGTTGCTATCGACAAACCTTACAAAAGCTGGTCAAATATACTAAGTCAGGGAGGACTGCTCCTTTATTCATCAATCGTAGCTGTTCGTATCAAAATCTAGGTTGTATGCATACATTTAGGCTTTGTATCATATAGTTTTTTGCTTTGATAACTCCCTATCATGACCAACCACTATTCTATCGTTCCTACTTTTTGGGAAGTGCAAATAGCTGCTGAACAGCGACACACTCATAAGAAGAGGCATGCATCCAAAATCGTTTCCGATCCAGACCTACTCCTCAGGTCAGTGGAACTTTTGATATTGTTGCAATCAAGTTCCGGACATCAGTCGAATACTAAAGCTTCGTAAAGTTTAACAAAAGGAGAAACCCTCTTCGATTTTTGTTGAAAGTCAACATTGGCACAGATCGAGTAATAAAATAAAAGATCTAAGTCCGTACACATTCAATGAAGCGAGCTAGGTTCAGACTTCAGACAACCTGCCTGTACATACGAAGAATACATTACAATGATACGTATCTCAACTTTCAAACAGACAAACTTTAATAATTACATAAGGCGATGAACCATTCTAACACTGCATAAGAAGAGGGAAACTTTAAAGAACCTTTAGGCTACTCTAAGCTTCCAACTATACTAAAAAAAGTATTTGTAAGGAATTTTACCTCACCTTAGACCTGAGACATTGGTATATGGACCTGAAAAAACTACTAAAGCATTCACAATTACGTTAATCAGAAGCATAGAGAGCAAGTCCACTATGTCTAACGTGCTCCAACAGTGAGGATCCTGCGCGGCGGAGAAATTAGCAATGGGGCACGGGGCGCGCTTTGCGCAGCCATGTGTAGATTTAAGTACGTGTTTCAGTTTCTAAGCATGTTTGAAGCCATTAAAGGTCCCATCACAAGCACAATGATGCAAAAAGTATGTCTTTGTGCTGTTAGAGCTTTAACTTTCCTATTCCGAAATATGGAAGGAAAAGCTAGCTGATTGACGTTATTTCATCCTCTTTCTCTGCTTCTTTCTTACAAGGAAAGTATATACCGAGTGGACGCGAAGGTACTGCCACATTGTTTTTAAAAAGATACAATTTCTTACTTTGAAGCAGATTTGCTTGGTTGTATTCGAAGTTTAAAAGAGGAGTTCCCATCTCATCCATGGTGCAGTAGTTCGACTACGCAATATTGCGTGGGGTTTGAATTTCGTTGCGGACAGCAAAAAAATTTCAAAACATGTCTTTCATTCGCTTCTTTCTTTCCCTAAAATCCATTTCAATAACATTTTTTCTTTAGCAAGGTGGATCCGCGGCAGAGCTATTCAGATAGTGCAACTTTCGTTGATGGGAACCCAAACATGTCTTCGGCAGAGATTGATGTGCGACGACACCGATTTCCTTTCTGCATAGTTTGGACTCCACTTCCATTGTTGACGTAAGTATTCATCTGTGTTATTTTTAAAGACCAGTTGTCAAAAATGAGACTGGCAGGTGGATTTTCCCTTTGATCGGACATATGGGCATCGCAACGAGCAAAGGCATCATTCGTGATTTCGCAGGAAGTTATTATGTTTCCGTAAGTTCTTTCCTGCCAATATATCTGCAGAGCAGTAACGTTGTTAAGGAATGACCTTTTAGGAGGATGATATGGGTTTTGATTGGCCAACGATGTACTGGAAATTGTCGGTAGAATGCGTGGACGGTGGTGCAGAAACTTATGATAGAGCAATACGAGAGGCTTCAGATGAATACAAGGGAAGAATGGTTAGTACATAGTTTTGATGTTTTTGTTTTTATTTACTTCCAATGACTTGCACATTTCTACAATTTTTAGCTTCTCTCGCATTCTTTTGAAAGACTCTAAGCTTATGGTATACTTAGTTTTTGACTTTTTGCAAAAAATAAGCCGGCATCCTCCACATGAAGTGGCGCTTTCTTGATTTGTTTTTGAAATATTAAAAGACACCAAAGTAGAATTTGTCTGATTATTTCTTTGCTTATTGGCTTGATCAAAGCAATTCCTATGATATGGTTTAAACAATGTAGATCTGCTATATATCTGGTTGTACAGAGGCTCTTATCAAAACACATTGAAAGTTGTTGATATAGTAATTGCATGCTTCTGTGCAAGTGATCGTGGATTATCTCTTACTATATATATCATTGATGCCTAAAAATTTGTGACTTCCCGTCTACTCGGACATAGTAATAAGTTCGATCCCGAATGGCGGCTTTATGCTAGAATTTTTGTTGCTGCTGCGTCAGTGGTTATTTCAGCATAACCTGTGTTGTGACAATTGCCATTCGCATGTTGCCCTGGCTTTGAACACTATGCAATACGGTGGTCATGATCGATGGAATATGGTGAAGTTGGCGATCTATATGCAGTTGTTCGGGAAATACACGGGGTAATTTTTGTCTCCCCTTTTTCTAACATTTTAACAGGTTCTGTGATTATATTTCAGTGTTGGCGGTTTCTTGAAGCAATGGGGATTTTTCATTGTCATGTGTATTGTTTTGACAGTCTTTCTGACATTATTCTAAACAATTGTGCGTCGTTAAAAATTATCGAATTTTTCTTATCCAGATATATATATAACCTTTCTAGATGAAAACATTGTCTTGCTGATGAAGCTTGGTTTTATATTGATTGTTGTTTATCCCAAGTTGAAATCAGATGAAGTTGACCACATATTTGTTTCTATCTACTTACCTCGTTTGGTCATGTCTAGTCAAAGCCGGATTTGTTCCTTGCAGGATAAATTGTTGTCAAAACTAATGTTGATGCTTCTTTGGTATCTACCGATCTACTTCTTGTTTGCGAGCCAAGATCATGTCATTCTAACATTTTATTAGTGATAGTACGACATGGTGCGCCTCACTGTTGAACTCATCGACAACGCTCCACAGTTCATAAATACTGTGCGAGAGCGAGAGTTGAATCTGCGTGGCTACAAGATTCCCGTTATAGAAAATATGGGCGTAACAAGAGTGAGTTTTTCCTTCTTTTCCACTTGTTTACATCTTCGCTAGAATTTATCACTCTTTTTGTGTGTTTCCCTTTTTTCGGCTTCTTTTTGTGTTTCTCTTTTTTGGGCTATCTCAGGATGAAGTGTTTGCTATCTGGAAGAAGTATAGGAAGATCCCTTACAACGCCACGTTTTGGAATTTTTGATTCATCAGTGCATGATTCATTTAGGATCAGTTTGATGTGATCGATCTGACAGATAACGACGTCAAAAGACTGGACAATCTCCCACTGTTGAAACGAATGCATACCTTATACTTGCATAACAACAGAGTGCAGTAAGTTTTTTTCTTTTCAGTTCAACTTAACTTTGCCTTATCTATTACAGCTACATACAACCTGATATCGGGGAGAAATTACCAAACCTGAAAATTCTTGCTTTGACAAATAATAACATCACGGAGCTGGGAGATATAGACCCTTTGGCAAATTGCAAAAATTTGGAATACGTCACGTGAGTGCAGTTCATAAGGATGAGTCTGTCTTACTATCTTTATACTTTGTATTTAGATTTATTGGAAATCCTATCACGCACAAGACTAATTATCGGAACTATATCATTTACAAGTTGCCTTCTGTACGTGTGATTGACTTCAAGCGAGTAAGACTAGCAGTGAGTATAGCTTGCAGATATTAGGCTACCGTTGAGTTTGACGGTATATTGACTACAGGAAAGGCAGGCCGCTCTAAAAATGTTCAAAGGAAAGAAAGGTCAGAAAGCTCGTGACGCTATCAAGCGAAGCACTAATGCTCCTCCTGAAACTGAAAATAATGAGGTCTCTCGCGTTAGTGGATCCGCTCTTACACCAGAAGACAGGATAAAGATACAGGTATCTATCCGTTTATTTGCTTGCTCGATTTATGCATCATAAAGTTTTTAAATTTCTGCATCTTTTTAATTCCAGAACGCTATTGCAAGTGCACGATCACTTGCTGAAGTTGAGTACCTCCAGTCTGTGCTTGCTAGCGGCCGAATACCAGAGAAGGGCTGGAATAAACAGATGCTGCTACCCACTGAAGAAAATCATCCAGTCCAGCAAGATGGAGGGTAAGACTTTAGCTGTTATCGCTTCTTTTCGGTGTATGTTCACAGCTGCGTTGATTCACATTCGATAGGGCCTGCGATAGCAAAGAGTTACATCGCACTTGCAATGATTTCGATACATCTGTCAATATACTTTCTGGTAATTCACTCTCCACTGATAGTACAAGATCACTTTCTGAGGGAGAATGATGGGGAGTCGGTGGTAGCAGCTCTGCTTCCTCATTTCCCGCTGCCCTTGGCTGCCAGGTCTTCCGAAGTTTTTCCTGGTTTATGGGGAAGGCAATTAAGCATAAATTTCGAAGGCAGTTCTCTCTTTCATTTGTGCACTCGCATTCGGGTGATCTGGAATTTTCGAGTGTTTATTATCGGGGTCTCTAGTCTCAGTAGTCTCAAACTGCCCAGCATTGTCTTTTGTTTCAGAGATGACGAGTGGCTGATCTCCTTCTCGAGTTATAATATCTTAGGTTTATGCCTGAAAGTGAAGAGCCAGAACATCCAAGTTCTAACGCTGCAATGGAGACTGATTCAAACAACCAAAACGGAAGTGGCAACTCTAACGAACAAGCCAACATCAAGAATGGGAATGGCAATCGCCACACAGATTCCGGTATGGAAGTAGACGGTGATTCAGGAGCAAAGAATACTTGATCTGGTAAGCATTCTGTTTCGCAGCTCTTCTACGGCGGCATGGTTGAGATGCGGTATGTTGCTTTCTTCTGATTACGTTAATCCGTCTAGTTAGCATTGGTTCCATTGCGGCATTGAGGATGCTTCAATTCCCACCTCAACCATTCAAGGCTTTGTAATGACTACACAAAATGAGAAGGGAAATTGCTTTGGGTGGAAAGAAAAGTGAGCTCGTTTATGGTTACAATGGCACATCCGCTTCGCTGGTATCTAGAGATTGGGTATTAAAGGCCGTTTTGTTACTGACAGATAGGATGCTGATGCGACATTTGGACGTCTGCAAATGCTGTTAGGTCTCCAAAGAAGTTGGGAAGATTTTTCGAGATCCATGACCTTTTTTCTTATGAACTCCGTAGCGCTCACAAACGAAGAACGCATACTACCCGTTAAATAGAGATAGAGATTGGAAAACACACTCTAAATGGGTTGTAAGCGTGCAAACCAAAGACACTGGAACACAGTTTTTTGTTTTCCATGCATCATATTGTGATCTTCACAAAAATGCTCGATGATTTGAATCTTTATGAACAGTTCTGAAAATTTCTATCTTTTAGTTGACCAGCGTAAGAGATCTGGCATATTGCTTCAAGCCAAATACTTTTTTTCATTCTAGTACGTTTGCGATTTTTTAAGACTTTCACTTTTTGCGCTAACTACTGTAAGGAGAAAAATTCACTTTACAAATTGTTTAGAGTGATTTTCTGACTAATAACTGCAGGCCAGGCTTTCCTTAAAGTGCGATAAGCACGAAATGGGCGTGCTCGAAACCGGCACAAAGCAAGTGTTATTTCTTGATTAAGGCTTTACTAGTCATTTCAACATTTGGCTGAGTATATATCACGTTTTCACCATTGGGTTAAAGTACCTACTTAGTGTAGTCAATATTGTTCACATTCAATTTGTCTCTTTTAGGCTACGTATGGGCTGAAGTCTTCTATACGGTAGCGTTTTTCAAGATCGCTCCTGTTCAAATGTTTCTTTTTACATTTCATTGTTTCTTCTATCGATTGTTGATTTGATCAGAACAGAAACGTTTTACTTCGCATGGAAGTATTCACAGATCATCTTTTGTTGATGTTGGTCACTAGGCAGGAAGTGTTGTATTCAATCGCTGTTTTATTTTTTTTTCAATAAAAATGTCCTTTATCATCACACCTACGTATCTGCATACATCCTCAAGGAGACCGAGTGTTTCACCTCCATTTGTCTAATGCTAAGACTTTCACATCTTCATCTTTTGTTATCATTCGAGTGCCAGGAGAAACAAGGCAACTGTCCGGAGGGAAACTATCGCAGGAAGGCGCGAGACAAGTGCGACATAAGTGCGATGTAGGCGCGAAGGGATTATTGCCTCTCAAGGGCGCGCCTGGAGAAGAAGCGGCGGACCTTTGGAGGATCCTGCACGCCCTCCCATCCTAAACAATTGCGTAGATTAGGAGCATTTTAAGCAAATGCGGTCCCCTGCTTTCTTTCTTATATAACGTTATTTCCGGGGACACATTCCACAACCAGATAGTTCGAGCTTCTTCTTTAAAAAGGAAGGAAAAAATGCGGACGCTGCCCCTATCGGCAGCGCTCTGTTATCCAATTTGCCAAGTTACTAGTGGTTCATGAAAATTATCCTGCTTTCACGAGTACAGGATGCACCTGTTTTCACTAACTATGTTTTCAAATTAGAGTTCCAACTTTAAAGAATAGTGTTGGAGCTTTCCTTTGTCTGCGCTACTCCACCTGAATACAACAAATTCTCGAAGAGTTTCGCCACAAGATTCCAGCAAAGCTAAAATAGGGCAGTGCAAAGCCGAGTATATCCCGTTTTTGCAGGCCCTCTGGCTAGACATTTGATTTTTTGGGAGTTTTTACCTCGGAAAAAAAGCTTTGGTTCTGACCACCAAGTCAAATTCAATACCTCACGCTCCATCTCAACACTAACGCATGATTAAGATTTAGCGATAATCAATGGAGAAGCGCCTCAGATGGAAAGATGACTGAAGTGCAGTCTACCATTTGCTATTCATTCACTACGAAAAGTTTTTTGGAACAGCTGAGTTTCTTGATATGAGCTGTTGAAAAGATGGATAGAAGACTTTCGTCCTGTCAGTTTACCTTATCCGGCTATCCAGACTCTTTTGAAAGGCCTAATGGAAATTTTGACGTTTCGCGATATTTGACTCCTGCAAACTTTGGCAATTTTGAAAGCTATGAGCTGCGACGAGAGCATAGTATTCAGAAAGGCGAAAAGCTGCATGGAATACAGAACGGATCTAAATGAACTCAATATAAAGTGTGTGACGTTTCGGCCAGAAAGCGAATTATCTTTGCGTGGCCCAAGAAAAAGCACTCATTCGAGTACGGGGTACAGTTAATAGTAGGTTGATGCAAAATTAATGAGCGTTTTTCTAAGACTTTTTTCTGGACAACTTTTCTCAATCAAACTCCTTTGAAACAGATTCAACATATTATTGAGAAGTTGTTTTCATGCTCTCTACAAGGCTGCTTGAAACGGACATTTAGCCTAGTTTGTTAAAAATTTATGGGGGTTCAATGACCGCACTCAAGACCAGATTTCTGTTGCATTCACTTTTCTAGCCAGAATTTAGGCGCAAATTGAGACGCGTTTTTAAAAATTTAGCCATATGTAATAGAAATTGTCTACATTATGCATACTTAAATCATATTTTTTGAGGTTATCTAAGCTAAGCTATCGGCGCCTTAACATGGGTAATGGTTGCGATCATTCTCTAGCCCACATCTTTCTTTTGTAGAAGGCAATCCCCAAAGTTTTGTTCATTTCTGTAAGCGTGAGAGTAGAGCATTCTGTTAACAGCTTTAGCAAAGAGATTTAGCTGTTCAGCACGCAGAAAATCAGAAAATTCTATGATTCGGTTGATTGATTTGAGGCCTACTGAGAAAATGCTGAAAAAAATAATCTTTTTGAATTTTGATTTTTTCCACCCGCCAATCTCTTTTCTCCAAGCTCTTTCCATGTTTATTTGTACCACTGACTTGCGGCTACAAGATAGGCTACTTCTAAATTATACTAACAAATTGTGAAGGGAGTTATGTTTTGTCAAAAACGAGACTCTAGATAAAAACTTGTTTTTCCATTCATATTTTTCTGTCCATGTGAGATATGAGTACAATTCAATATGCGTTGTATTGCGAAAGGTTCGCTGCATCCTATGGTCTTAATCGCATTCTAAAATGTAGATTGTATAGAAATATAGCAAGTTGAAATGAAAATATGAAAAACGCTCATTATTCTTGCATCAACCTAATATATCAGGTCGGTCCGAAAGTTTTGTCGGTTTTTGATGTGACCCGCAAATCCCGTACACTAAAGATAAACAAATGCTTCAAGCTGTACCCGACGCAGAATTTCTTCCTATTCCTAGCTACCATATTCACACAGTGGTTTATTGAGAGGCTGCTGAGATAATCGTTAGAAATTAACCCTTCGTTTTCTCCATTTCTGAATTTCGCTAATTTTCGGAATTTTGAATTGAGAACAGGGAAGAATTGATAGTCAGCAGATATGGCAAACCTTTTGCCAGCTAGAGGAATTTTTTGTACCTCTACGGCTTGTCTTTCAGAACTTATAAAATAAATTTTGAGCTCTTTGAAGTAACCAAATTTTACATTCCACCCATTCGAACCTCTTAGAATTTGAAACGGTAAACAGTTTAGGAAGTTTAAAAACTATTCGATGCAACTTTTTCTCCTCTTTCTAACAGTTGTCTTTTTTTGGCGAGACGCAAAATTTGCGGAGAACATTGCGCATTTCTCAATTTTAGGAGTGCCACTGATGTACCCTAAGTTTTCGAATCTTTTTTGGATCGAAAATTGCTCATTTACTTTGTAAGGATATTGATAGTAATGAATTAAGCGTTGAAACCATTCTGAAGATTTTATAGTGTTTCGTGCAATAACAGGTTATGTGATTACCAAAACTCGAGGCTTTTCGAAAATTATTTAGCAAAATTTTACAAGAGTAGCTGGCAAAAGGAAAAAAATTTTTGGTTGGCAAAAGGTTTGCCCTATCTATTGGTTAAGCTCCCCACAAGCCTCTAGCGAATTAAGACGTGGTGAAAACGAACGCCAATGAATCACAGTGTGAATATGGTAGCTGAAAAGGAAGAAATACTGCATCGGATACAGCTTGAAGTACTTGTTTATCTTTACTGTACGGGATTTGCGGGTCACTTCAAAAACCGACAAAACTTTCGGACCGACCTAATATTTAGTACAGTATGCAAAATTTTTCTCAGACCGTTCATGTATTTAATTTGTAGAAACATCAGTATTAATGGAGTGTGTTGAATTGAAATAGAGATGTTTTCTACAATCATCTGCTCTCTACTGCCGACTTCGCAGGTTGTCTTAAATTCTCTTCATGCTATTTCTGAGCTCGCATTTTCCGGAGTGGAGAATTTTTAGTGTGTGGGCTGATAATCTGTTGTTTCCTTGCGAGATTTACCATTTTTGACGTTTCTCCATACTAATGTGAGTAAAAACTCGTGCACCTACAGAACTCCCTTGTCTTACAAAAACTGAGGTCTCGAGTTTTGCTTGTGTTTCTGTCTAGAACTGGATAAGGTAATCTTTCTGAACAACAACCGCGATAAAGAGGATCATTTATTACTTTTCTAACCCGTTGAAGATAAATACTGTCTTATGCATAGTAACATTTGTACATAATAATTATACACGTGGACAAGCAACGTAGCCAAAACGATAGATATTTGAGCGAACAAGTGTGAAGCATCTTTATATTGATGCCTATCACACAGCATATCTGTAAGAAAAATTCAAGTGAGATGACTTTCTGCAATGACGACACTTACCAATACTGCCTTTATTCGTTACGTCAAGAAGGACACGTCGATCTTTTTTTGTTGCGCCATTTCATTTAGCACCTGGTTAGATAAATGTAATGAATATCCAAGCTTATCTTGCGGCGCTTACCTCATTTACAGACCGCCTGCTCGTTTCTGGACAGTACCACATCATTATCGTAAAAATGCCTGTAGGCACGAGGAACATGAGCAGAGATTGGGCGTAAATCTAGGATTTTCAGTATTAGTTGTTCTCCTCCATTGAGGATTGTATATATGGTACTACTCACCACATTAGCTAGCGGATAGAACGCGAATTCGACTCCAATTTTTGTGAGCGCCTCGAACATGGTGAGAATCGAAACCGACGAGAGGAGGATATTTCTAGGGACCAACTCGGCGGAGTAGAATCGAGACAAGGAACCTATTCCACAAGCACTTATGAGCAGAAGAGTGGTAAGTCCTATGAGGGTTGCAACCTATAACATAGTTTTTAGAAATTTTCTTGAGACTATCTGTAGGTATCTTACCTTGAAGCTGGGCCCTACATTAATCCCGACCACCATGAGAATAAGGGAGAAGAAGCACACAGCAGTCGACCCAATGAGCATTGGCCGTCTGCCAATACGATCGACCAGGAAGACGGGTATTAAAGTTGTGGGTAGTCGGAGTATCCCTAAAATTTTTAATTTCACTTTGGAAGCTGGTAGACAGCGCAATAATGCGTACTCACAATGTAGTCAAACCTTATAGAGCATACAACCTCGCATATAAGCGTATATGTTTCTCCAAAATCTGTCATTCTCTTTTTTTTATGAAGAATGTCCATAAAGTTTAAGTTTTTCAAGTAAAAATTCTTTGGATTATGTCTCCATAGTTCTTGTGTGGAATCATATGAATATGTCCTCTTCAGAACAGCAACTTCCCGCTACTCACATACTAGCGAATTAGTGTGGCTCAATATGCCAAAGTCACAAAAGTGACTCTGGCATATTGACTCACAACAGCAACCTCCAGATTTACATCGTAATCGGCAGAAAATGTGGCAAAAGAGGCAAGTTGGCGAATCTGCCCGAAATCAGGAAAAGTTATAATTCTATCATCGTTACTGTACCTATAATGAGTGACTCCATCAAGGCAGCGCTGTGAGACCATCCACCCATGGAGTACAGGACAAAAGTGCTGTAAGAGCGAAGGCATCTTGCTCCTGTGAACACATACGCAATCTAAAGGTAATTTATAAATTTATAGAAGAATGCCTAGAATGAGTTTATCTGGCTTGCCTTGACCATAACTCCCAGCCATGCCCCATAGCGCACTACTTGCGATACTGGATCTCGAGCTTTCCAAGGCATGAAAAGTATCGTGAGTGAATCGTATTCCGTGACACTACCTACACCTTTTTCCTGAAATGACTCATTCCAGCAGCATGAAAAAATAGCTTGTAACCGCATGTCAGGTGTTTATCCTGGCTATAAAAGATGCGGTCTATCCAAGTTGAGGGTAATGCGCTTATGATGCTCCATTAGCTGGGCCTTAAATAAGGCCCAATCCTGCTACAAAGGATGAATTCCAAAGCGAGAAGCGTGGCCTTTTCCGCCTCAGAAGGTGGAAGAGGCCACGCTGGTACGTGGGTGGTCTGAATAAGTCCAAACCCTTAAACTTCAAAGTAGACAGAAAGGTGGCGAATGATGATAATAATGAGGGGCAGCTTCATGACAATTGGATAAAGAAAGCCCGACTTTGTACTTCTTATCTTCAGACCAGCCATGTTGATGGGCGGAGCTAGCGTGGCCGCTTCTACCTTCTGGAGCGGTTTCTCCTTCGGAATTTGTATTCTTCAAGGAGACTTGCGCGATTTATATAAAGGCCCCGTTACTATACAGCATCAGAGCATAGCAACACTTCTGCAAGATATGAGTTTACCTTCTGCTTCGCATCTTTCTTCTCAAGGGCCTCTTCACAAATTCGCAGTTCTGCATCAAGTGAGGAGTCATCAACGTCCACTCCATGATACGCAGCCAAGGCTTTTCTTGCCTGAATGGTTGCAAAACCAGTTTCAGTGTCTTGCAAGTGATTGTTCTGTTGCTTTTGAGCTTGCTTCCTCAGTATTCTTTTTACTGGTGGCCAGGCCGAATTGGCAAGTAAGGTCATTATGTCAGAAGCCAAAATCTTGTAGAAAAGTCGCCTACAAATAAGTCTTCCAAAACTTCAGATGTTCAACTTAAAAAGCAGTTGGTTTCCAGTAGATTACAACAAATGGAGTTTAATGCAGTCACTCAAAAACTCTTGAAGTTCTTTTCTTGAATGACTAAGAAACAATGATAACTTCGCTGCTCAGAATAGGACTAAAAAATAGGTCGCGTCAGCCGAACTCTGAAGTAATAAGGCAAAAATGAGGATTCAGGAAATATGCAAAAAATGGGAGTTGGCCAACAAGCTGCACTTTGGAAAGGGGGGCGGATGTTTCTCACCCTAGCCATATTCTCGCACCTAAGTGATGTGCCTGCTAGGCACATCCGAGCCCGCTACAGTTACGAGCTCCTCAGCAGACCAAGACATCGCAAGCCCCGCCCCCTCATTTAGGGTCGCATGCACTAACATGGCCGCGGGGAGGGGATTGCAGCTTGAAAGAAAGCTTCATATTTCGGAATTCCAGATACTTACATTCATGTTGAACAGGAGCGAGAAGCTGTACAAACCGCATTTTCCAGCTTTTGTATGATCCCTGATGACCCCCGGCGCTTTTCTTTAAAGTTATTTTCCTTTCTCCGAAGTTAACGAAAAACCTCCAAAGTTGTGCAGATTATCTAACCCAACAGTGCTAAGCATGTTGCTGATAAGAACAAATGATGTTTTGAAGTCATGGAATTTTCGATGATCCACAGGTCGGAATTTGGGGTATACCGAAAAATTCGATTTTTTGAAAATTCATTTGTTCTCATCAGCAACATGCTTAGCACTGTTGTGTTAGATGTTCAGTATAACTTTGGAAGATTTTCGTTAACTTCGGAGAAAGAAAAATGACTTTGAAGAATAGATGTTCGTCCCCCAGGGATCATCAGGGGATCCTACAAAAAGCTGGGAAATGCGGCTTGTACAGCTTCTCGCTTCTGCTCAATATGTTCATAGTGAAGGATGGTGGAAGTACTTACGGACAGGTAGGCAGCGCGAAATCCAGATATCCGGAGCTTCAGGATATGAAACTTTCTTCTGAAGCTGCGATCCCCTCCCCAGCGGAAATGTTAGTGCATGCGGCCCTTAGTGTTCGCTCCAGATGATGAAACCGGAATTTCAAGGAAACTTTCGAAATCGAAGTTCCAAAGTGAATTTGCTCCAATCAAGACCAAATTTCGGATTTAGGGGTTTTCGAGGTTGCTCTTTTCAGTAGTGTGATTTGTTTGTTGCAAAGTTGACGTTTAGTAAAGATGATGCTTAACCAAGATTAAAATTCGGATTTGGAGGTTTTCAATTTTCTTAAGGATTCTTGAAATCACTTTTTCGATAACGGCATATGTTTTGTGCAATATCAATAGGATTTGTTTTTTGGACAATTTTTTGGAGAAAAAAATGTTCTTTTCACAAAAATCGGACTACTTTCGTAGAATCCGTCCGTAGTGTTTTCTTCTCCTGACTTCATTCTCAAGAATATGTCAAGGTACAATACGTATAATGACCCAGCCAAGTACTTCGTGAAACCTGATATAGCAGGTCACTGAGGTCATCGAGGCTGGTTCAATGCCAGAAAGCTTCATAGTAGACGTGGGAAGCTCGGAGTAGTGTCAAACAATAGAGAAAAACATCTTTACTATTTTGGAAACATTTATATTCAAACTTGTTCTAGTTTTTAGGAAAAAATTTCATATAAATCCATGCCATGGATATTTTTCAATTGTCCATTCATAAATTTTCGAGAGCCCTTAAACCTGACTCTTGGTCTTGTATTGAAATAGAAAACTGAAAACCTCCAAATCCGAATTTTAATCTTGGTTAAGCATCATCTTTACTAAACGTCAACTTTGCAACAAACAAATCACACTACTGAAAAGAGCAACCTCGAAAACCCCTAAATCCGAAATTCGGTCTTGATTGGAGCAAATTCACTTCTGAACTTCGATTTTGAAAGTTTCTTTGAAATTCTGGTGTCATTTTCTGGAGCGAACACTAAGTGAGGGGGCGGGGCTTGCGATGTCTTGGTCTCCTGAGGAGCTCGTAACTGTAGCGAGCTCTGATGTGCCTAGCAGGCACATCACTTACAAGGGAAGTTCACTTAGTCGAAGTGGCGATTCGGAAGGAGATCTATACCAGAGGATAGAGCTTAAAAAACTGATCTCAGATATACCTTCTATATCTGCGACGCGTTGTTCTGAAAAAATTATGAGCTTTTCTAAAGCCAAATTTTCGTGCATTTTGAGTCGCAAAATTATGATAGTCGCTACACAAAAGAGTGCAAGCTCAAGCAAATCACCTAATAAGCATGTAGGATCTAACTCAAGTTCATCCGAACGCTATCGAATGTTTTTTGACCATGTTGTTCATCCACAGGTCGTCATTTCATTCCTAAATCACACTTCCATTATGTATACAAAAAAGCGCCATAACCTCCATCTAGAAAAACGCGTCGCGTAGGAAACTTATTGGAAACTACCAATGGATAGAACGTAAAACGATGTTTTCAAAATCTGCGACGCGTTCTTCTAGATGGAGGTTATGGGCTTTTTTTTGTATACATAATGGAAGTGTGATGTAGGAATGAAATGACGGCCTCTGAATAAACAACATGGTCGGAAAACACTCGAAAACGTTCGGATGAACTCGAATTAGACCTACAATGCTTACTAGGTGGTTTGCTTAAGCTTGCACTCTCTTGTGTAGCGATTATCATGATTTTGCGACTCAAAATGCACGAAAATTTGGCTTTAGAAAAGCTCATAACTTTTTTCAGAAAAACGCATCGCAGATATAGAAGGTATATCTGTGATCAGCTTTTTAAGCTCTATCCACTGGTATAGATCTCCCTCCGGATCGCCACTTCGAATAAGTGAACTTCCCTTGTTAGGTGCGAGAATATGGCTCGGGTGAGAAACTTCCCGCACCCCTTTGGAAAGAGCTTTCCAAGAGGAGAGCTACCTATCTATCACATTATTTTTAGAAAACTCCAATTTTTAGCAGTTTTGCGGAGACTACATATTATTTGAATCTAAAAATGAGGCTCCTCAACGCGCAACTATCTAAGCCCCTCGAAACGCAACTCTAGTATTGTTATGTTAAATTTTGTTTCGGAGCTTATTATAAGCGCAGGAATTTTTGAGCTGTTTACAAATTAGGAAGCTTCTCGATTAGTATGAGTTCTTGCAGTCAAAATGAGTACTAAAGCAGCATAAGAGCTTATTTCTCAACTCTTACGCTTCAGTTCTTTGTAAGATATCCGTTCTCATTGTGCACTCGCATCGTAATCAAGAGAAAGGGAGATTGATACTCTAGAAATGAAGGTCATTTGATGGTCTTTTTTAGCGACGAAACAAGCGCGCCTTTGATCAGCGCTATCACATCCGCTCTACTTCCATCGTTCGTGAACTGCGGTTCATTCCAGCTCTATTTATAGTAAAGTGGCGAACAACGCGTACTAAGATACGGTCATCTCTTTATGACAGTTATCGCGCTCAAATCGTCAAAATCATGTTACGCTTGGCTTAGCTCATGTAGCTCTTTTGTAAATGCTTAAATGTGTCTAAACGCTAACCTTGTCTTCCTCTCCTTTCTGCATCAAGTATTGAGGTGATTCGTAGAGGAAAATGAACATGATAAACGATGCAAGTACAAAGACGAGATTTGGCACAAAAATCCAAGGCCATAGCGTGTCGCTTGCAAAGGGCACACCCAAAGCTTGTGTGACCAGAGCACCTGAATCCACAAGTCGAATTATTTTCGATTGAAATTGTTTAGCGGTTGAGGTGAAATGTACAGTAGTAAAACATACCTGCAGCCATGAAGAACTCTTGCATGGCTGCCATCCGTCCTCGTATCTGCGGTGGAGCACATTCGACAATCCATACAGTAGCGTTAACACTGCTTACACCATTTGCCAATGACCTGATTTGTGAATAGGCTTTATCTCCCTGACTCCCCTTACTGCTTTTTCTGCTCACCAAAGGATTCGTCCTACATACAGTAACTCGAACGAATGACACATTTTAGCCCCTGCACTGAGCAAGGTTGCCGGGACATAAACTGCTGTTGCCACCAGTGCAGTGCCCCTCCTTCCGATCTTTTTACACATGATCGCAGCTAGGAATTGACCAAAAATCATGGCTATCGGGAAGCAGACGTTGAGAAATGACCACATCATATCCTGAAAATAGAATTTGTTTTGGTTTGAAAAATTGATCGAAAGTAAGTTGAAAATGCGTGATGACTATCAGGTTGATCAGTCGTGCTCCTGTCATCTTTTTGTATTGAGCTGATCCATAATCCTTGCACCAAGGTCTTTAAAATTCTGTTTTCTAGCTTTAATGAGACCTCGGACCTTTTCGCATATGCTTGAAATTCTTCGTTGACAACAGCAGTTGGCAGCGATACAAGCTAATCAAGAGAAATACCCAAAAAGTGATTTTTCGTGTTTTGGTCCCTAAAATTGCTAAAACGTCTACTCGAACATGAATCGGTCTTGGTTTTATGATCTACTCTTTTTGACCCAAAAAGGTGGTGATGGACGTCTCTACCAAATTACGAATTAATAATTATTATAATCGGCTCATTGATTTCGTTTCAAATTAATTTTCTGGAATGTACTTCAAAATACTACATCTGATATATAAATAATAAAGAGTATATTGTGTTTCAATATGTAGTTTGTTTGGGCATTTTCAAAAAGACTTTCGTTTTGTGCAAGAATTGTGCATCAACCAAGTAGTCTCCTTAAGTTCGCGAGCATTTTTTATGCGACGGTTTAAATAAGCAAACTCTTGTTTCCAATGGAAAGTGATTACATAATTCGATCGTGAATGACTCATACAACCTAATAAACTCACCAAGGTTGACAACTTCATCGGAGATCCGGTACGTACTAACCAGGAATCATTGATAAATCGTTGCATTTGTAAATAAGGTTGATTGAGCACAGACGCTATATATCCTTGTTGAAATCCAGATGATAAACACAAAGCCAAAGAAAGGATGTGAATTGATAGTGATGGCATCCTAAAGTATTATAATCGATAGGAGGAAAATTGATTATCTAGAAGCATGTGAGAAAGAAATTGATTGAGTCGAATGAACAAGAACGTTGGCTAGCAAGTCATTAGATCACCTGGGCGTTTGCACTTGACTTTAGAAGATCAAAAGTCGTAGTGTTCATTTTAGCAATCCAAATACCTCATGGATCTTGCTGTAGAATCGCACTCACAAGTCCTTTTTGATCTGAGTTCTACTGCTCTAATGGCGCTTTTTACAGTATTATTAGAAGTAAGAAATACTTGTCTTTTTTCTCGATCTTCAAAGTAACTTGATGGATGCGTTGTTTCTGGAGTAATTCATTGCAGACATTTCAAACATTATCAAAGTTGACAGTGACAAAAACACATTCCAGAAAAGGTCTAATATACTTTAGCACATTATCGGGTATTTTTACATTGAAAAAACTTCTTACATTTTCAGAAATAAATTATAGTATTACAGCGTAGCACAGACGAGAAATCTTTTCGAAGTGGATGCGTTAAGTAAGTCGATGACATAGTTTAGATCGATATCTTGTCGTAACAATTTGTCGGATCCTAGACACCGGAAAACGAAGAAAAACTGAAATGGTAGGTTATGCAAACAGATTGCAAGACAAGTTTTGTACCCTTGTGAAGAAAAAGTGAACTCAAACAAGAATTCTGAGTGTCTATCAAACAGGAAGTGCATCAGTCCTTGGCCAGTGACTGACGTCATTTCAGCGAGGCGGTCAAACTACTGTGCAGTGCTTTGCAAACGAAAAAAAGACCATTCCAATTTTAGTGATTTCCCTAGTGTATGCGAAAAAAAGCGACCCTGGTACAGTTGGAAAAAGATATTCCAGTAATTTGAAAACATGTTTTTCATTGTTAGCAGCTTTTCGTTGGACTTCTCAGATAAAAATTGCATAAGAGAACTTGGCTAGAGTTCCAGAGGGTAGTGCATGAAAAAAGTGCAGAGTGCTGCTGCATGAAACATTTTCCATTTGTGGAATTTTGATGAAGCACTATTTTGATCTAGTTATCTAGTTGTCCCATTTTATAGAGTTGGAAAGAAAAGAATGCCGATATTCATAGCAAACAATAAGACGAATACAAAAAATATGTGAAGGGTAGCATCCGATGGAGCAAAGGAAACGCTACAGGATTACCTTTCGAACCTTGGCAGAAGTCGTGATTTACGCAAAGTATACCAAAGCATGGGAACAACTCACGATGTTAAAAATTGGATCTTCGCCCCAATCCTACGAACCTCTCACTTACTCATGTAACAAACATGTGCACTTACCCTTCGCTAGCTTGCTATATATTTTTATGCTTAGAAAACAAGAAGAAATTTTAAAAAATTGCGAACTCCGCGCCCAATAGTCTTGAGCTCCTCTCATATATGTCGTGGTGTACTACAAACCTTCGAAACTCAAACTATAAAAGATTGGTCTTGGATGTGCTCTAGCTCTTGGCAAACTTCAATTCAGCTGAAGAAAAATCCAAAAAAGCGACATTCTTTTCTTCTCAACCTAATATAAGCTAGCTTGAATAGTTCCTGTCTAGATGATTGAATATATTATAGTGCTATTGTGTGGTACATGTTATAAGGCCAATCCATTAATAGACACAGTACCTGTTTTTAACGGGAATTAAGGGATTAGGAGAGTGTCGCAGTCTCATTGGCGCAGCAATTTATAGTACTAGCTTAAGCCTTTCATTCGGACGGGGGCGCAATGGCACGCAAATAAGGTACAGTTTGCCCGTCTCGCCGTAGTTCTGAATTATCACGCGATCATTGGATTAATCTTCGATTTGTGATTGAACTGTTACCAGAGCTTCAGTGGCATTAATACCGCAGACCAGACATCTAGACAGCCGCACGCAAACGTCATCAGTACTGTAGAGTTTCGTTGATTTGCTGTGATCAACATGGCTGTTTCTTGCACAATTGCAAATTGTTTTGATGGATCTGTTCATGATTAGTAGAGAATAGAGATTCATTACACTGTAACAAAAGTATGTACAGTTAACCGATAATATCTCTCTTCCAAGGAGTCTTTTGCCGACCTCTTTATCAATCTGTAGAACTGGCTTCAATTTAAATTTATAGCCTGAAGCAATTCACCAATCCATCTCCATTACTGTAGGATTACGGTAGGAACTTGCAGCATGTAGCGCCATTCGCTTTGCGAAAAGACCAGTAGTACGAGATCAAACGTTCGTTAGCTTCAATTGTAAGCAAAGGCGAAAGATCTCAGTTTTGCTCACATATACATTATATATCCGACCACAAGATCAACTCTTGCACTATGTACGAGAATCCTGGACCTTTTAATAAGTTTATCTCATACTACAATAGGTACGACTTCAACAATGAATGTCTGAAAAGGCTAGCTCACAATTCTAGCACATCATTCAACAATGCATTACATGCAAGAAGAAAAAATCCCTGGGTAACCTAACTGCTCACCTTTTCAAATAAGCAAAAATGCAACAGACTAGGGATAATATACGGAAGAAAGCTGCTGAACGAACGCATTTGCTTCGCAACCGCCCTTATTGGATCCGATGATCGCATCCAAATGATAGGATGTAAGGCGGTATACGTGTTTTCTTTATATCAGCTAGATAATTTGAGTCACTTTTTTCAAGGAGGAGACACGGGACCAGTGACTGTATCTGGTAGCTTGCACTGTAATACCCATAAAAAACATTGGCAAAAAAGTTCTGCTAGTGGCATTCTACTGCCTAAAATCATACCTAATTTAATTGTTCCATTACGTAAGGTTCATCAATTGGCTGAAATTGAAAAAAAATTGATTTGTCAAAACTGCTTTGGAGGTTGTTAGCTTTTATAGCATTTCAATGGTTCAATCATGTTACGTTCATTCCACCGAACCTTTTCGCAACATCCTGTCTGATTCTCTTTTGCAGTTGAATATTTGAAGTTCATGACGGGAGCATTGAGAACTGGTAGTGTTATCGTTTTCCACTGTTATTAGGTTGAACCAAGAGTTCTGTCGCACCATTTTCAAAAAATCGTAGCTTGCTTCTGTCACGATAGTCTCGCATGAAAATACCATTAGAAGAGTAGCTCATGTACATTCTAATGACGCCTAGAAAATCATAATTTTTCTAAGAAGAGATTAACGTAAATCTTGCTTAGCTAAAAAGAGGGAATTAAAAAATCCTAGAATACCGGCTATTTGGATTTTATGGCACAGTTTTGGAATTTTTAGCGAGTTTGCCTCAAAATTCCAAACCTGAAGTGATTTCCTTTTCCAATTTTTATCTCTGCAACAGAAGATAGCAGACAAGGCGTCATTAGAAAGTGCATGAGCTACTCTTTCTAGTTATATTTTTCCATGCAAGACTATCGTGACAGAAGCAAGCTACGATTTTTTGAAAATGGTGCTACAGAATCGGCCCAACCTAATATATTTCCCCACTGTTCTTGCGTCGACCAAATTTGTAATATATCTCCTCAGTGTTCTTGCTTCGACAAAAAGCTCATCGTATTTGCCGACCAAGGGTTCTTGAACGAGATCTTTTCCACTTGAACGTGTTGAGTTGCCATCGGTCGTTTTTGAGTTGCCTGTACAGGTATATGGAATACGGCCTCGACATTTAGAATGCTGGTTTTTCAAGACCTTTTGCAGTTGTGTTCAAGAAAGAATGAGTGCAAGAGCGCGTTTGATCTTTGTGTTCAAGCTTTCCACCAATATCTAAAATCATGTACTTTCATTCGTCATAACAATCGGGCAAAACGCCTATGATGAATTGCTACGCATGGTGTGCGAACACACCACATCTGTGACTAAGAGTAGTTCTTTAGTATGACTAATCTAGAAATTTATATATTCATATATGCTTCGCACGCATCTGCTTAGTGAATTTAAGTTTTGCATTTTTGGTATGACACAATTCAGCGAAGCATTTCTCTAATCATGCTCAAGTTCAGGATAATGGTATAAACATACAGGAAAAGGCTTATTCAACATCTTCAGGACAACATCTCCCTCCGAGGACCTGTTTTTCGTCTCTAGTCTAGTCTAGTCTAGTCTAGTCTAGTGCTCTAGTCTTTGCAAATTTACCATAGAATTCATGCGATTTCGGCAGTTTGGAGATATCTAGGCAGAGCTCTAACCAATTACTGCAATTGCTCTCTTAATCATTGAGTAACTGATTGCGATAAATTTTTCCATCGCGACGTATTTACCGTAGCGAAACCGTCAAAATGTTGAAACTTCTTGAGATTAATTCACAAAGGAAATCAAGCACATCAGAGTACTTCAAGAAACTAGCGATCTTGAATATAAAAAACTTCTGTGCTTTGGATCACACGACCTACACCGATGTACAGTAACCTTTGACGTTCTATACAGCAGTCCAAAAAAGCAGAATTACAAAAATTGAAAATATGGCCTGGTCGAGAAGGTATCAACACACTTTGCCATGGGTGAATCAATTTCTAACTCAATCTGAAAGCGATATCTCTCAAAATTTCTCATGGTTCACCTATAAGAATAATCACAAGCTATTCATGGTTCACCTTCAACCTCACTCAAGCCTCATCGACTTATGCTTTTGAGCCATTGAATCGAATGTGCTTACCCATTTGACCTACTACGGAGAATCCTTTATAAATGTGGCTATAAGTCCTACATCTTAGTTCGGCTCTGCCATGATTCCCATGCTTCGCTTGTAGTGCTACATTTTCCATTTTCAAATCATTGTAATCAAGCTCACTACCGCCAAAGATATGGTAGACTGGACGGTAATGCTGCTCGACCAAGTGTTTATCACTTCTCACTTGATGTTTATTCTGGGAACGAACGTCCACATCTGCGTAGGTGGGCCTCCGATCGTTGAGCGCAGAAGACAAACCACTACAGGATTTCTTTCCCAAAACGCACCTGCATACAAAAGTTTTGCTTCAGTATAATCACAGTTTCATATAGTACGATTTCAACTTTTTCTTAACATATTCTTTGCTAATGTAATAATTTCCTTCAAAAACTTTTTTCTTTCAAAATAAATTTTGACAGAAAAATATTTTTGAAGGAAATTATCTGTGAACATGAAAGTTAGCATAAGAGAATTATTGTTTTAGAGGGGATCATACTGCAATACTGCATGGGAACAAGGCAGTTTATAGCCAACTGGAATTTTTCATACGATTACAAAAATCGATTACTTCTGGATAAGATGCTATTTTTGGCAGCTGCGGGAAGTTTTCGAGACAAAGGAAGTGACGCCATGAGTTCAAAGACTTATGATCCTTACGAATGCAGCCAATTGAGAGAAATTAAGAGATACTGTGTACTTATGTTATTATGTGACCCGGAAAAGAAACCGGGCGTAAATATTTTGTCAGTTTAGAGTTCAAAGAGATCGTATAATTTGAGCCGTCCCGTTCTAAATTTAGCCGAGTGCACCCGCATATTTTAGATCATTGAACATGCTAGAAATGCTGATTAGCAAGGACCTTTGACAAATAGCTGTTTCATGAAAGTGCTAACAAGGATAGGAAGATTGGTCGAAGTGGCCTTTTAATATGATATAAACACCATCTTGAAAGGTTTGAAACGCGAATTCCAGATATACTTTCTTATCTGCTGCGAGTTGCTAAGCAAGGACTTATGAAGGGTTGTATGAGGAAAATATGAATGTGCAGGATAAAATTTGTTATGACATCTTTCCTAGGACTTGAATGATTGTCGGTTTACTTTGGTTTGAACCTTCATACCTTTCTAGAAACCCGCAGCAGATAAGAAAGTAGATTTTCAATCAGCGTTTCATAATTTTGGAGGTATACATTTCTCATTAGAAGGCCATTTCGACGAACCTTCCTTTCCTTCTAAGTAATCTGCTCGGAAGTTCGGCTACAACACTTCAGAGCGTAGCTGAACTTTACAAAAAAATTGTTCGTGAACTCACAAAAACAAGAAACTGCGAAATTTTTGCAAAAGGTATCTGAATTACTGTTTGAAGTGATATCCTCATGAAGCGACCATTTGAGAAACTCTGGCATGTGTACAGAATAGATCACTTGTTTTATGTGCATCAGCACTATACAATTATTCCACAGTTTACAAATTTGTGTCGCAACAGTCGGCCAGCAAAACCATGTAGAAATACATTTATCAGAAAGAAGCAACCCGAAATGACAGTGAGATGTATAAAACGACAGAACGTTGGAAACGCTTAGTCTTGGGAACATGAGAAAATGTACATAATTGACAGTGGCTATGTACAGTTGAAAAAAATTCGTGCATATTGGATAAGAATTCATTGTCTTGAATTCTCACAATGGAAAGGAGACTTTTAGATTCTTTCTAATGGCGACTTCGTTGAGAACCTGCAAAGGTTTGAATCTTTGGAGCGGCACTTTGAAACTGTAAGAAAGTCTTGCCCACCTCATTGACTGTTTTCCTGCTTGTCTCCGGACAGAATGCCCACATCAGAGCGAGGAAAACTGCAGAAGGAATCAGAAACATAAGAAGTGATTGAGCGCCAATCTGAATGACTTCGTCACATTTCGGCACAAAAATTGATTTTCACAGGATAACTTACAATATTGGCGATGGGGTACCAAGCAAATTCCACGCCGATTTTCGTCAGTGCTTCAAAAATAGTTAGAATCGAAACAGAAGATATAAGAAGGTTTCTTGGCACCAATTCGGCAGCATAGAATCTCGACACTGAGCCGATTCCACAGGCGGTGATTAGCAACAGCACGGAAAGGCCGATGAGACTAGCTACCTACAAAATAAGGTCTTACTGAGACTGAGAGTAATTAGGGAATACTGAGAGTAATTAGGGAATAATTATGAGAAAAACAGACCTTAAAGTTAGGGCCAAGGTTGATAGCAACTATCATTGTAAGCAGTGAAAGAATCGACACAGCCGTTGATGAGATCATCAAGGGTCGTCGGCCTAGCCGATCCACGAGAAATACCGGAATGAGGGTAAAGGGAAGCCTGAGAAGACCTAAACAATTGTTTCATTTGCCTAAAGAAGACATATACAAACCATGGAGAGTCTTGGGCTTAACATACTTGTGATGAATGATCCGTAGAGAGCGCCTTGGAAACTCCATCCACCCAAACCGTAGAGAACATACGTGCTGAACGCTCGTAAACATCGCGCACCAGTAAACACATAAGCAATCTGCAAAGGATTTTTTTCTGACTTCAACGGATATTCTTATGCTCCATACCTTCACCATCACTCCAAGCCAAGCCGCTTGTCGTATAACTCGCGAAGTCGCATCACTTGCCTTCCAGGGCATAAAAATCACGGTGATCGAATCGTGCTCCGTTTTTATGGGACAGTCTTCCCCCTGAAATTAATATTGCTGTGAAGCTCAAGCGCCGGAGACAAAAAGTTACCTTCGTCTTTGCATTCTTCTTACTCAGGCCAGCTTCACAAATTTTGAGTTCTGCCTCGATCGAAGCGTCATCGACGGCAACCCCGTGGTAGGCAGCGAGAGATGCTCGGGCCTGAAATTCCTCCGAATTTTGAAGGGGGCTTAGAAGACCATTCAATACCTTTTCCTTATTTCCTTGCTTTTCCATGATGAACTGGGGAGACTCGTATACAAAGGCGAACATCATCATTGAAAATGACACGAAAAGAACGTTTGGCAAGAAGACATACGGCCAAAGCTCATCAGTTGAGAAAGGAACTCCAAGCGCTTGTGTTATGAGAGCACCTGAAAAGAGTGCTGCACTAATTTTCGGTGATAGCTCGTATTTGGAAATTTGGCCTTTTTCAGCTGACTTGTAGCCTCTTTCGATATTTAAGATACTGAGTAGCTTTAGGCTGTTTATCAAAAAAGTTGACACTAAAATACTCTCGTGAATGTTTTGAGAAATGAGCTGTAACTCCTGCAGTTTCTAGGATTTCCACTGCATATTCCCTTCCAACTTCACCTCCGTCGCAGAGAGGTTGCAAATTTGCAAGTGATTGTCTACGTGAGTCATAATTGCTTGTTTTTACTCGGAATTAAGTGAGCTAATTTGTAAATCTCTCAAGAATTCAAATTAGCCGTGTAAGAAAATTTTCTAGGAGTACGTATATGACACATTGCCCTATGTTCGGAAAAAATTTCTGTCGCCCCTTACACAAAACTTTCGCACACCTCCATTGTGGAGGGTAGGTCGCTGTAGTGAAAATACTCACTTCAGAAAAAACATGTTAGTTGAAAGTAAAAATGATATCCTAACCTGCTGCCATGAAAAATTCTTGCATCGCAGCCATTCTTCCCCGAATCTGAGGCGGTGCACATTCAACGATCCAAACAGTTGCATTAACACTGTTTATCCCGTTGGCGAGAGACCTTAATAGCTGCAAATTTATCGAGTGAAAGAAGAAAGAAAATGTTCGAGTCCCACCAAAGGATCCGGCCAAGATAGATGAGTTCAAAGTACGGATGCAGATACTTTGTAGCCGCGCATAGCATCACCCCAGGAATATAGAGGGAGCTGGCCAAAAGTGCAGTTCCTTTTCTTCCTATGGCTTTGCATAAGAATGCAGCCAGAAACTGGCCAAAAATCGTAGCTATCGGGAAGCAAACGTTCAGCAGGGACCACAGCACGTTCTGAAATGAAATTTCTCGTCACCCAGCTGCACAATTCACTGTAGACTGACCAGCATATCCCTTTGCAGTGGTTTATCCGTTCTCTCAATCCACGACGCATTGATGAAGTTTTCGATTTGAAGATAGGGTTGGTTAAGAACAGAGGCTATATAGCCTTGTTGGAATCCCGAGGAAAGACATAGCGCAAGCGAAAGCAGGTGTATTGATAGTGATGGCATCTAAGCTAAATGAGTAAAATTAGTAGATTATACAGGGGCAGCAACGAGAGCGACAGATGAGGTAAAGAAGTTTTCCTTCTCCTAGTCTTTACAAGCAGGAATTTAGTTTTGGATGATCCGATATGTAGAATTGATTATGGAGCTTTTAGATTACAAGGATATTGTTGTTTTATGTTGACATAGGAACTTTCCTATGCAATAAATAAATAAATAAATATGGAATACAAATGGCTTTCAGTCTAATATAAAAAGAATGAAGTTATGGAAGCAAACTTTATTGTGGGAGACTGCATACGAGAATACATGGAGAATTCGCAGAGCTAATTTTATGTCACTAAATCTGAAGCATAATCAATTTTATTAGTATGGTTGTGCGGACCCCGATTATATGAAAGCCCTTCCTAAAGGTTAATGCGTCAAATTTAGTCTTTCTTCGCACAATCATGAGAAAATGCCCATGTTTTTAATGCATTGGTAGTGAACACAGATATAGCCAGTCCGTAAAATGTTCACAAACTTTCCTTTTATATACTGCGACGGATTTCATTGTAACTCCCTGCACTCTGGATTTCCCGCAAGTACAGTAAGGCGGGTGGGGTAACTGAAGATCAGCCAGCGACCACGCTGAGGTTTTGCAGCAAAGTGCGGAGATTTATCGGGTAGAAAAACTAAGTAAAAACCAAACTCTTTGGTGATGATGAATCATTTGACGTTCTCGTAATAGGTATGATAAATTTTCAACGGATGATACACAGCTGTGTGACTGTAATTTTGAATGAATTATTTCCATACGAAAGCGACTGATTTATCTGTTACATTTTCAAACATCATTCTCTGCTTTCATCCCGTTTTGGATTTGTGCTGAGCAAGATCAAACTAAGCATTTGTAGTCGTTTTCTTACACTATTTGTTCGACCACTATTATCACGCATATCTTATATATAAAGCTGAATGTTGTTTGTCTGTCTGTCTGTATGTCTGTATGTCTGTACGTATGTTCCGAATAGAAAATTCCATTTCTGAACCGATCCGGACCAAACTTGGCACACATACACTTCGGGCCCCGGCGGGTGTCATAGGCTTCTTTTCGTCATCGATCGATATCGATTTTATCGAGTTTTTGCAAAATTTGAGCTACGGGGCTGGGAGTTGGTACAGGGGGGTAATCGAGCATGCTGATTACGAATAAAATAATGACAGGGCCGGGCGGAGCCGGGTAAGCCATCTAGTTCAGTAATATAGTTGATGCTAGCACAAGAACGACATCGATAAAAATTCACTCAAACTCAAATGCCAAAGGCAGGTCGCCAAACAAACCATAAGATTTCTGTTTTAGCTAATGAGCCTTAACATAGGTTGGTGAAGTAATGAGCGGTTCTTCTGCTAATTAGCCTGAGTATGAAAACTCATGAGAGCATTATTTGATAGACCAAGACGTGGTCACAAAATTTTACCAAATGTTCGCGATCTGTTGAATGACTTGAGCGAAAACCCGAGAAAAGAATATGGAGAGCCTCAAAGATCGAATCTCAGCCCAAAGTTGAAAAAGTCTACAAACCTCCCACTTGCACAGTATGCAATATAAGGCCACACACATTCAGTTGCATTCGCTGTTTTTCTATAGTTGTGAACTATAATGCTGAGACTTGGCAAGCACAATTGTGCGCAAGTTTTAAGTATACAAGGTGTCCCAAAAAACGTACCTACTGTTCGGTTGTCAACAACTCTCTTGTCTTAAGGAATCTTTCGAGAAGATTGAGGTACCATTCTGTAGTGCTGGCTTCAACTTAGATTTCAGCATAAAGCGAATTATCGATCCTTCTTCATTACTGTAGGATGCGGTAGGAACTCGCACGACATAGCTCCACTGTGAGATAAGCGACTCAGAACAAAATTTCTCAAAAAAAAATCTGGAAAATTACCCAACAAGATTTTCATGCTTGCTGATGTTACTACAAAACTTTTAGCACGTTCATAGAGCTTTTTGAATGGTGTAATCAAATTTTTGGCAAGTATCGGAAATCGGTTGTTACAGTGTATTTGGCAAAACTTACGAGGAAAGGAATACGGTGAACTGCGAGTTTCATATTTGAAATCAGCGACTCCGATTAACCTATTGTGAAAGTTTTCAGCACATTTAGTCCTTTCTCAGGAGCAAAATATGACCCTCAATGACGTAAAACGCTTTTCAAAGATCCTACCGTAATCTTACGGTAGTGAAAAGAAACGGTAATTTGCTCAAGTAAATCTAAGGTAAAGCCTGTTCTACAAAATGGTCCTGAAGCCCCTCGAAAAATTTCATGACAAAAGATTTATTAACAATCAAACAGTAGACGCCATACATGCATTTTAGTCATAGAAAAATATCATATTTAGCACAAAAAACCCCCAAAAAGGCGGCATTTTTTAGGACACCTGCAAAAAAATGTGCCCACTGTTTGATTGTAAATAACTCTCTCGTAGTGAAGTCTTTAGAGAAACTTTAGGTACCATTTTGTAGAGCTGGCTTCAACTTAGATTTACGTTATAGAGCGAATCACCGACCGCTCCCCATTACTGTAGGATTACGGTAGAAACTTCAAACACATGGTGTCAGTGTGAAAAAAGCGGCCGTTCCAAAAATTTTCAAAAAAATGTGGAAATTTGTGTAATACGGTTTTTATGGACCCTGAGTTCAATACCCAATTCTTTACAAGGTTGAGAAGTTTTCTAAACGGTGTGACTGCACTTTTTAGGAGCACTTAAAAAACGTCTGCTACTGCTTACCTCGCATAATTTTTTAACGAAGCATTACGAAGAGTTACAAACTTCACATTTAGAATCAGCAACTCCAGTTAGCCCAGACTGAGAGTTTTCAGGTAGTTTTGGCTTCTTTGTGGAACAAAATATGGCCTATCATGGCTCAACCCTCTTCAAAGTTTCTACCGTAATCCTATAGTAAGAATGAGAGATCGGCGATCCGCTCTACACTTTAAATCTAAATTGAACCTCGCTCTACAAAATGGTACCTAAAGCTTCTCGAAACACTTCACCACAAAAGAGTCATTTGCAATCAAACAGTGTGCACATTTTTTGGGACACCCTGTATGTAAAGTACAAAACTTAAGAGGTAGATTTATGATGACCTTATCCATATATGCATCCTCGTCATAGAAAAATATCACATTTAGCACAAAAAACCCCCCAAATAGGCGACATTTTATTCTTGATCTAGTCTGTTTCTTGACCTTCATTGAAGCAATTCCTGCAACTGCACTCGTGCACTCCACTAGGCTTCTACTATGCCATGGATGTGTGGAAAGCTTGCAAGATTTGGCAAACATCCGATTTTTGGGGTCATTGAACACTTTCCGATTTTGGCTTCCAAATATAGTAGATCACGACTTATGGGTAAATCTGGTCGATGTCTTGTAGAGCTTTGCTCTATTGCATATTGTGCTTTATGCATTTCTAAAGTTCAGTAGAATTTATACAACGGCTGTCGCCCACGGAGCGCTCATTCCTTTTTCAAAGAAATGATGTATCGCTTTCAACTTGAGCAAATATCGGACATCATAACTTTAAGCAATTTATGGATATCTAATAGCTTCGACCCTCAATATACAAAATCGTCAGAGGTGAGCTAAATTTGTTCTGCGTGGTAGTGAAACACCACATTGCTTCAAAAGTTCAGTTTTCTGTTAATTGTTGCCAATGACGTGTATTTGCACTATCATAAAGTGCCGCAAAAAGATGCAAATCCTACGCTGACTTATGACGTCAACCAATTGTCCACGAATACGTTCAATGATGCCTATAATGCAGACTTTGTGTACATATTCTTTGCATATGCACTCTGACGAGCTGGGTGTGAACTGTTCTGTGAGCAAAAGGGATCTAGAAAAGATAGAATACCTCTCACAGAATGTGCAAAATGTCCGTGAATGTCACAAAGTTCCGGAAATTCCGCGGAAGTCCGCGACATTCACGGAAATTTTGCACATTCTGTGAGTGTATTGTAGCTTTGGAGTTTAATTGAGTGATAAGTTGGGATCTCACGGTGGCGAGATCACAAGTTGTTTCTCAAGCAATAGAATAGAGATAGTTTATATGACTAATTACTACTGCCGATTATTGTGAAATCTTTTGTAAAACAAGAATCGGTGCTTAGGTCATGCCATCACTCTCTCTTGTATCTCAGGAAAGGGTTGTTCAAGAGTATTAGTCGTTATATGAGTTTTAACAGACTTTCTTCCTCTTAATCAGGAAGACTCTAATTAATCGGCAAAATCTCTACATATTTGGCATACACGGGAAAGGGAAGGAAGGCTATTCATTGGCATCATTTTCACCTTCAAGGGCATGAGATAGGTATGTACAGTACACACAGTAATTACGGCGAATACAAAGACAATTTTCTAACGGCTAATCTTTCTTTTACTCCTGAAAAAATATTTTTTCTTTCCTTTTTCATCTCCGGATTTTTTATGTACTCTGACAACATCAATGCAAAGGAAGTTCGACCTCTTTGATATCGCAAGTTGAAAATTCTGTCGAAATTGTTATGGAGAGGACATGTACGAATCGAGTTTTTGTCAGAAAACGGTAGTTACGGTGCAAGACATTGTTTGGTCTGCAAACAACACAAAAGGGCCAACATTTTCTAATGTTCCGGCTACCGTATGGCTTTCACCGTCCTTGTACGACATTCGAAAAAAAACAGCGTTTTTAGGACAAGTTTAAAAAGTCAATGTTTAATGAAGACTTTCTGTCCTAAAAATTATAATTAAATTTTAATTGAATTAAAAAATGTGAAAAATTATTAGCAAGGCAGTAAGCAAGAGTGCTTCATAGCCATAAAGAATATTCAGTGTATGAAATTTTATTGCCTTGAAGCAATAACGGCATTCTGGAATTGCAAGCAACATTTCCCAGAAAGATTAAAACTTTCATTTGCATGATAATGTTGTCAACCCGATTTCACTGAGGTGAAATACACAATGATACTTTGTCTGAGACCT